ACTGTAGTCCAGTTAAGGGTTCAGCAAAAGAATAGTTTAACACTTGCAATGCATTCCAATGATGGGTTCAATGTCCATAAGATAATCCTCCAGAGAGGAGGCATTCATCAGTCAGAAATTCAAAATAACAAAATATGTAACTGAAAAAGTTTCCCTGAAAAGCATCGAAGTCAAATGCATGAACCTGTCCAACTTACAACATAAGTGGTGTCCAAGATATAGGGTATTGTGGACATGTAGAATTATACGATGTTCGCCGGTTCCAATTAAAAGTGTCCAATATAAAGGGGTGTCCAACTTGAGAGGTTTTACTGTACTTTGAATTTTGTGTACACTTCTATATTCACCCAGAGTGAAGTGGTGAAACGTATGCTTAAAATTACTTTTAATCTCCGTTGCAGACCGTCAGAATGTCAGTGTCTAACAAGAGTCCAGCAATACAACGAACATAGTTTCTTGACCCAAAAAGAGTCTCCGCCAGTGAATTGAATACAAGACGTAAAAGTGAAATTGCTACGTATTGATGGATAATGACATTTTGGATAAAGTGAAACATGTTTACAATAACCTAGTTTCGATAAGACTGCTTGAGCAGAAAATATATAGGAGAATTAAATAACATTTCCGTCTTTGACGTAAATGGTATTTCTCTTTAGTTTTCGTTTCGGATGTTACGTCAAATCCCAGTCTTCATCAGTGACATGGGCAGGATCGTCGTTTTCTTGAAAAAGGAAATTAAAGTTGGTGTCTTCGTCATCAAAGTCACTCTGTGGACCGGAAGAACGCCATCGTCTTCCAACCTCAACGAAGCGTCGTTCATGTAAGATTTGAGGTTCTCACAGCGGTGAGTATGAAGATTTCTGTCTTCTGGGTTGTTGCGCTGTGTAGTCTGGTCGATGTTTACCAACGTTTCAAAGGTCCGTCATCAGGGCGATGAATATGCCAATAGGGTGTGTGGGGCTAGGTTTATAGGAGCCGGAAGGAGTCATTATGACCTCTGAAGCGTTGGTAAACATCGACCAGACTACACAGCTCAACAACCCAGAAGACAGAAATCTTCAAGCGGCACATAGTCGGTTCCTCTCTCTCAACTCATTCAGTGAGCGCATGCGCGTGCTAAGATCAACGGCCATGTTGGTTTAACTCCATCTCCTGAAAAATATTCCATTGCCATAACAGGTTTTTTCTTCAAGTGAGGGTGAATGAGAGGGAAAACGGTACTCAGAAGAATATTTGGTCCTGCGAGAGAATAAGCAACACGAGAATGGAGAAAACTGCTAATATTGAGCTTTATAATTCCATTCACTAAATAATAAATATTAAGCTGATCAGGTAAAGGGTGATGAGATGGGCGGGGCATGTAGTACACATGGCAGAGACAAGAAGTGCAACATTTTAATCGGAAAACCTGAACGGAAGAGGCCAGTTGATAGTTCTAAATGTTGGTGGGATGATAATATTAAACTGACTTCATCTCCTTGATGGTATGGTTTTAAGGCGGAGCCTTGCAAACACGGAAATGAAGCTCCAAGTTTCATAAAAGACGAGAAATTTGATTACTTGGGCTAATATTATCAACCAATTAATGCTGTTTAAAAAAATGATTGCTGTTTGCCCTGAAAAGCATACGAAACCCACAAACACATAATGAAGGGTTACTGATTGTTAAAGCATGTGGTACGTATACTTACCATTAGGCTCTCAAGGGTTCTGTTTCATCAAGACATGCCTTGCGTCTCTTGGTCTTCTGCACAAATCTCTAAGCCTTGAGCTGTTACATTCTTAGTAGCTTAACCCAGTAGTGGGTCATCGCCGACTCCTTTTGGAGGTTTCCTAGTCTTTGAAGCGTGCATTTAAGAATAGTGAGTGACCAGCCCACTGACTCTGCACAGTTTCTACTCTCTTCTGATTTGACTGCCAGAGCCATCTGTTTCATTATAGTCTATTATAGTTCCTCAGTTGATAGAGACTTGGGCCGTTCGATGGGGAAGCCAAGAGCCCTGTCCCATACCAGAGATGCCAGCACTCCCAAAGCACGAGATACACCGAACAAAACTGTATAGTACTTCACCTCCTTCAGACCGTAATACTGAAGAAGTATACCGGAGTGAGCATCCACATTGGGCCACGGATTCTTGACTTTGCCTGTCTCCATGAGAATGGGAGGAACCACTTTGTACACCTGAGACGCCAGCCTGAAAAGTGGATCGTTGGGCAAATGTTTCTGTGCGAACTCCCTCTGGCAGGCGAAGCGTGAATCTGTCTTACGAAGAACAGCGTGACCGTAGCCTGGAACCTCCTGTCCATTCTTTAATCTTCTCCAGATGAACTCTCTCACTAAGTCGTCTGACGCGTTGTCTCCCAACTCTTTCTGCAATTTCTTGAGGAATGCTAATACCTCCTGATTCGCTAAACCATTAAGAGGACCTGCGAGGCCATTCATACCAGCTGCAAATGAGAGGTACGGATCCGACATCGCCGAGCCAACCAGGTGAACAGTCTGGGCACTCACATTGCCTCCCTCGTGATCGCTGTGGATTGTGAGGTACAATCTCATGAGTTCTGTAAACTCTGGGTTATCATAGCCCAGCATCCGACAGAAGTTTTGACTCCAATCCTTGCTGGCACCGATGACCCCAGCGCCCTTATCATGATGGTACGTGTTGCGGTAAATGGTCGCTGCTACGACGGGGAGTTTTGCAATTAGATCCATGACGTCTTCGTAAACATACTCCCAGTATTTCGATTTGTGTACTCCAGAGGAGTATGCCCGGGCGAACTTGCTCTCCGAACTGAGTGCTGTAATGGCGCAGCTGAACTGCGACATGGGATGCAGGGTGAGAGGTAAGTTGTTCAAGAGTGTCGCCACGTGTAATGGTAGTGCTGCACGTTTCGCCCACTCCTTTGAGACTGGTACCAACCCCTTGATGCCACTCATACCTCCATACATTATGTCAACTATGACCTCCCCGATCTTGGTTGTTCCGTAAGCTTTTCGGAAGTTCTTTGCCCTTTCCTGCTCCTCAGGAACCTTCTTGGCAAGTACAGCTTTGAGGTCAGTCGAGTCTGAGGGGTAGCGCAGAACTGTCAAGGCTGGTGACACTTTCTGTCCTACTTCGGTGATTACCGAAGCCATCGTGCGAAACAAACCCATTTTTACTACAAAATTTTGCACACCGAAACTGCAACAAAAAGGCGAAGCCCGTCTAAACATTACGTAAGACTTTAGTCCGTACCGCAAAGAAATCACTGCACTTTACCATTACAAAGATCAAACAATTATATAATATTATTTGAAATTGTGTTAGAAAGGAAAGTAGCTTAGTTTTCTTGCAAGTGTTCATAAGCACTAATGAAAACATGTAAATATGTTGATAAATAATAATAACAATAAAAAGGAGGACGTACTTACATAAGTCTTCGTTCAAGGGGAGAATAACTGGATGTTCACCGGCAATAAACAATTGAATTAATAATAATATGCAAAGAGTGTAGAACAGTATTCAAAATGTCTTAATAATTAGTATGAAATGTATATATTGGATTATTTTGAAAGGTTTTCAATTGCACAAAAGTATCTTGTTTACTACGCACTTATTCCACAAGCGATTCCAAGCTCAGTTGTTTCCACAGGAACGGAAGGCGATTGTTTACGCCAGTAAACACCAATAAAATACAACAATGTCGGTCAAAACTATTATGTAACAATGATTAATGTTTTCTCAGTAAACAAATGTAGTACTTTACACTTTATTGAGGCAATTCTACTGCATACATATATTCGGCCTACGCACGCAAAATAAAAATAAAACAAATTCTTCACAACTATAAAAAGTTAGAAATATTTTTCTCAATATGTGCCCCGTTTATTAATTATCTGAAGCCGAAGGGGAGAGAGAGAGAGAAAGTGGGTGGAGTAGCGATAGGCACTACTATTATAAATGGGGGTATAAAGTTGGTTTGAGGCTACGAAGTTTCCCAGGCAGTGTCCGCTCGTCCTGGTATAGATATCTTTAGTAAGGGCAAGGGAGTTAGGAGACAGGATGGGATAAGAAATGGAGAGGGGGAAGTTGATCAGGGTCTTAGCGTTAATTTTGAATTTTGATATTGGCCTTGGAAGGACGGCGTTTGGAAAAAAAATTACGTTAATGTGGGGGGGGGTATATAGAGAGGAATTTTGATGTTAACACTAGAAGGGCTGCATGAGAGGCATGCAGAGCAACGTGGAATTTGAGTAACAACTCGGCATTTGCTCTAGTACCGAGGAATACCACAGAGAACCTTGGTCATTATGTAATTTTCTCCAGACCACATCGTCTTCTCTAATAGGCCCAAATATCCTCCTCAACACCCTATTCTCAAACACCTGCAATCTATGATCCTCCCTCAGAGTTAGAGACCATGTTTCGCACCCATACAAAACAACAGGCAAGATTATTGTTTTGTGTATTTTAATCTTTAGGTTCTTAGAAATCAGACGGGAAGACAAAATATTTTGAACTGAGAAGTAGCAACCATTTCCGGAATTTAGTCTCCTCCTAACTTCCTCATGAGTATTATTTTGATTTGTTATTGTTGTTCCCAAATATTTTAACTTTGTCCGGCATTTTTGTGTTTATTTTCTGATAGGCTTATATTGAGGTATCGGATGCTTTTCGTGTTTGAAATTCACAGCAGGCGTGTGTGCTCATAATTTCCTCTCTTTTGTGTATATTCTATATTCCAACTTGAGATGTCAAATGAAGCAACATATTAAACACATTTAAAAACGAGAATATAAGAATTGTAGGAATAATTCAGATATGAGAAGACACTTGAGGGTTATAAAACAATATCTTCTACTACGATCAGTTTTTGAGAAAATTTCTGGTTGTGTAAATATTTCTATATTATAATTAATTTTAAAAAGTTTGAAGTTGAGGCAAGCCTCAGTTTTTTAAAACTGTTAAAGGGAAGGCAAATTTATCAGTGATGCACGTAAAAGCTGTGATGGCGCACTGAATGGTGTTGCCTCATCCTCACAATTTCTCAAAGAATCCATGAAGTTTAATTCTAAACGTTCCGACAAAGCCTAGTGGAGTTTAATTAAGAACCCAGTTTCTTTGAAATTGTCGATGTCTGGAGTTGAGTTGTGTCTACAACGTTTTTTCAGTATGGCCAGTTAAAGAAAGATGTTATTTCCTTGTGACCCAGTAGCTCTGTGACGCCATGCACCGCTTTCATCGAGGCTGGTGGATGCCCTTATTGCAAGCTCTGTGTACGCTCAAGCAGAGACTGCGAAGAGGATGTTTACGAGGTCATAACCGAAAGAGTCGATGCTATATCCAACAAAAAGTCTTCAGAAGCGTTCAGAAGAACACTGTATTTCACTCAAGATAAGCTGAGAAGTATGCGCAGGTGTGTGATGCGAGAGATGTGATACCTGATACATGAAGTTAGGAGGTACTTATTATTCTGACAGCGCGATTTGTCATCGTAACGTGACTTCGCAAGCCTCCACTCGACTGTTTCTCTGGGAAAGTGTATTATAAACTTAGGAGTTATCGAGGCGTATGTCAGCTGCTGATCTTTATCACTGACCACGTGTAATTCTGCTGGCCTCGTGTGTGGAAACGGAAGGTTATTTATTATTCATATAGTTCTATAATAACTGTGTTTGTGGCTCTTTGTTATCTAAAGTCCTGTTGACAGACGCCGAAACGGTTCTCACACCGGATAATATGAAGACACTCAGGGACGTTGTCGTCTGGTAGAACTTGGCCGACGTTCCAGAGGTGCTGAGGATCCCCATCATTACGGCCATGATTAACGGAGGCAGTAAGCGCCTCTGAAACGTCGGGAGACTTCTACCAGACTACAAGGCGCAACGTTTCAGATGAGTCATCTTTAAACAGGGAAATTTTGGTGCAAAGGAGGGCTTTAGTCTGACGATAATGAACCAAACTTTTCATACATGTTTATTGGTAGCAGATTAATCTGTACATCTCTTGAGGATTTGCGCGAATCTTGTAGCTCGTGAGTCGCCGCTTCTTAATTGCGTCTAGAGAAAGGACGAGCAAAATTCTGTGGGGACTTCCGGGCGTTCGTGAGGATTCGGACGAAGCAGAAATGTTAGATCGGAGCTTCAGGAATATGACAAACGGAATGAAAATAAAATTCAGTGGCTTCTCCTTCTATTGGGTTTAATAGAGGTTACTCTGTTGTCTTTATATTAAGCTGTTTATCGACCAAACATACACTCAGTTGCCGTTAGAGGTGGAGGAGGGTTTGTCTAAATGAAATCATTGGGAGAACCGACAGAGACGCTTTGTTTCAGTCTGGGAGGAGGACGTGGATGATCTCGTTAGAAGCTTCCCTGTATTTACTTCCTTGTCCTCCTGAAGAAGGTTCAATGAAAGCGAACAGGAGAATGGCAAGAAATTCGATATGAGTTTGGTGTCTGCACTGTTATCTGTTCCTGAACTATAACACTTTTTGTAAAACAATGCGCACGGAAATTTAATGTCGGACATAGTGTAAGCAGGTGTGCCTTTTGTTTCTGCAGCACTGTGTTCATCACTTACAGAAGAATCAGACACACTTTCCGGAATAATGTCACTATCACTATCTATATTATTATTACGATTTATTTACAGCAATTGGGTTTGCACCAGGTGGCAGTGGTCCTTACACTACACCAGGGGTGGCCAACCCAAATGATCTTTCGGGCCACTTTGGAAATGCATCATAACTCCGCGGGCCACATATAAAATTATATATCCCCATATTAGATTTAGATACACTATAGACATTTTTTTGGAGTGAAAAATTGAAACATAATGAGTTATTATTATTGTGTTTACTATTATTCTTACATGTAAACATAGATAATATAATAATAATGAATAAAACAGGCAATATCTGTCATATATTCGCAAGAATATTATTTTAAAATCAAAGTTAATTTTTTCTCATAATTTCGACAGATAATTTTTGAATATATGGATGCACAAATAATGCATTTTTTTAATACATTGGTTTTCACTACTTTGGCCATTATAAAATAAATATATTTGGTAAAAGTGTGATGAATCTCGCGGGCCGGAAAAATGTTCAAGGCGGGCCACATGCGGCCCGCGGGTTGGCCACCCCTG